TGTATTTATTCTTTGGCTAAATCAAAAACAATTAGTTCAATTATTTATCATACTGATATAATAACATGTTTAGCATTAGATTCAACAGGATATATTCTTGTTACTGGTTCACGAGATAGAACTTGTGTTATTTGGTATTTATCATTGAATGATAATCGACATATTATAAATATTAGTGATCAAGATCCAACATCAATTATTACACCAGAAATGGCACTCTATGGGCATACAGCTGAAATAACATGTGTTTGTGTTTCATCTGAACTTGATCTTGTTGTTTCAGGATCATTAGATGGTACTTGTAATATTTATACACTTGAACATGGAATTTATGTACGTACATTACGACCAACTGATACTAATTGTGATCCAATCGTTAATTTAAAATTATCTGATGAACGACATATTCTTGTACAAACAAAAGATAAAGATACACATTTATTTTTATATTCAATTAATGGTTATCTTATTCGTACAAGAAAATTTGATTATCATGTTGTTGATATGCTTTTATGTGATCAATATATTATACTTGCTGTTAATCATCATCCAACTTTGAAAGAAAACCCAGAATCAAAAGAATCATTTGCCGCAAAAATTGTTATTAAAGATATGTTTGAGTAAGGATTTTTTATATAGTAAATTAAATTTCTATAATTTTATTAATATTATTATTATTATTATTATTATTAAAGAATGACTACAATTCAAGTCACTCGTCTTCGAACACAAATCAATTGTATTCATTTAACGAAAGATTCAAGCCATTTACTTGTTTCTGTTAAAGGTGGAAAATTATTTGTATTAACGCCTGAAAAAAAGTAATACTAAGAAGTCCATTAAAAAACTAAAAATAAGCAAGAAATTTATTTTTATTTACTGTTTTAAAAGAAAAAAAAAACAACTATTTTTATTGAGTTATTATTATTGTTGTTTTATTTCATGTGTCAGATTTAGTAATATTTTATCTCGTCATTGTGAATTCTCTCTTTATTTTCTAACTCAAATACATTCTCTTTTGTTATTCATCGTTTGCATTCATCATTATCTTCTTCTTCTCGATTTTGACTCAGTTGTTTATTTATTCTTATTAGTGCTTCTTTTTTTGTGCTCATGTTTTGTGATAGGTATTACTGTTTTCTTTGATTTTATGTCCGGTTCGTTAATTTAACTCTTTTAATTGTTTTTAATTATTATATATTTGTGCACGTTATCCTTTTTAATATGCACATTTGTCCAACAAAAAATAAGTGAATCATAAAGAAATATATTTACTTTTTCTATTCGAAATATAAATTAAAGAAAGAAATCAACAACAATAATTAAAATTTCTATTAATAAAGGAAAAAAATATCAGCCTTCTATATGTGAATCAAAGAGCGCAAATACATAATTTATTTGATGTAATTCCATTGATACCATTCAGCCTTGTTTTTTATTAACGAATATATTATCATTAATTATTTGAAATAATTCGAGTCTATTAGTACATGTATTCATTAGATGAATTCTGTTAGAACAAGCACAAAAGATTTCTTACTGTTTTCAGTAAACTTAGTGAAACTATTCTGGCAGAAATCAGTCGATGCCGAAAGTGAGGCTAAGTTCTGAGAGTGAAATATAAGTGTGGATGAGGATAAGATGTGAAAGTGCAGTACAGATCAATAGTGTTCCTTCACTTGCATGTTCACAAGTGCACCATTTTTTCATCTAAACTTTGACTAATCTCTAATGCTCATAGTAGATATTAATGCCATTCTCATGCCAAAATGAGTGCTGTACTCGTGTATCGTATCTGTACGGTAGCAATTCGAAACTTATCAACTTGTGCTTATTATCCATAAGTATAACTATATCAGTTAATATAGGATCTCTGGCGATCAGACATAAATTGTATCTGCTCAACGAAAACTGATAGTAGACCCAGGTAAATGACAACTGATTTATTGGAGTTTTTGTTCGTTTTCATTCTGTGATTCCGATAAAGTCAAAGTTAGTAAACCTGACTTCAGGATGAACTGCAACGCATGCCAAACGCGGTATCGAAGCAGTATGTAAAACATTTGTTTCATGCTTATATCTTGTGCCATGGCATCATGCAAAATGAACATTTAGCTAAGATCAATTGCTTTAAGCGTCAAACCGAATCATAGCAAATCAGTAGTCCAATAGTATCTTCTCTATGAATTTTCTTTCACTCATACTCGATAATCTACTCACATAATATTTCTTGATCTATGAATCTAGTTGTTCAAAAAATGGCTGTACATTTGGTGCTTGGTGTCAAAACGTACGTCGTCTTGTTCTGATTTATAGAGATAGACACAGATGTTTATGTTCACTGAAAGTTGAGAAGAAGAGTGAGGAAGATGTTTGAGTACAATACAAATTAACGACCGTACGTAATGCATACAGGGATTTCAATGAAAGAATGAGATTGAATATTCCTGATAGTTATTGTCAAGTTTACTCTCAAATTCAAACGGGTCTTAATGATGAAGGACGAAAAGATGTACGAGTAAAAATTGATTCGAATTATCATACTATTGCTTATATCTGTTAGTAATTTTGTTTTCTTTTTGGATCTATGAGTACAAAAGCTTGACATGAATATTTCAGACTATTACTTGGATTAAAAGGACGTCAGTTATTCTTACCAAGTATTTGTAATAAAAAAGCAAAGTGTGACTGCAACTGCGTAGATCAATACAGTTATCTTTGGATGAGTCAATTAAGAGCAATCAATATTAATCAAGGAAATTTCATGACAACGTAGGGAACTTGAAACGCCAAAGAAAAGTCATCAATTTCACGGCTTTTACAACAAAAGACATGAAAAAGAAAGACATTTAAGATTATTAAATGAGCATTGACTTTAACAGGTTCCAATTTGATCGACTAAAATGATCGTTTTAAACATTTAAATGAAATGAATGTGATGGAAATATTCAATTTAGTCAATAATATTAAAATACATAAAAATTAGTGTATATTTCATGATAAAAATCTCATTATTTTTATTTTTAGTGTCACTGACGATGGTGATGTGTGAAACATAAATTGATTATTATTTTGAAAAATTAGAACTTCTATTCGTCTTTGAACGATTCTATTGTACAGTTGCAGTCATCTATAAGTTATTTATCATAACAAAACCTCCTGATTATCTGTGTTATATTTCTCTATTGTTACATTGAGTCATAGATGACCTGGAGAACTAGTTTATGAATGCAATTTGTATGCTTATATTATACATATTGTTGAATAATGATTTAATTTGCGGTTATATCTCGTTTTGTTTTCTTAAAGACATTCTTTGTATTAGCCATTGTCTATCTCATAATTAGATTGTATAAGTCATCGTTTTTTGCTACAAGATATATACTGTTGATAGTCAAAGTTCGTTTAGCCAACATTAATTGATGTCTGGCGCTTTGTTTTAGATGTGATAGGATGTTAAATTGATAATGATGATATTTTCGCCTAATGCATTTCTAATATAAATCATATCATAACGGTCATGTTTTGCATTGATATTGTGTTCTTGCCGGGAACTCTTACGAACAATTATCACAGTTGATTTTAAAATGTTACCATGGAATGAATGAACTTCTCTGTACTTTTCCCGTAGGCATTCATCTAGACAAAGTAATTTTTCTTCACATGGTTTCTTATGAAATTCTCTCGAACGTCATTTGTTTGTTTCTTTACTCCAATCTGAAGATATATTTTTGGAACTCTTCAAAGAATGACAAAAGTCTTGTATGAATAAATTAATGCATGAAGTCAAAGAATCATTGACTTGAATAAATCAATGTACTTATCCAAAGAGAAAATATCTGTTCAAATGTGGTGCCAATCGAAGTAGTGATTTTTGAAACAAAACTTTTGTCTTGACTCAAAAACTCGACGACAAAAGAAAGTAATTCTCTCAAGACTCATTAATGATCATAAAATCTAACAAAAAATATTTTCGAAACTTGATTTGAATCATTCGAACGTATTTCAAAATCCAAAAGAGAAAGCATTTATAACAAAATCGAAAGACAGAAAAAGAATAATAAAGATGTTGTCTCTTGTGATGTATTTTTTCGTCTACTATGGAACTTTAGTATCTGAACTTTCATATATTGGTTACTTTGCTTGTTCCTTTGTAATCTTACAAACGACGGAAATTTCGGTAATTTTGCTTCTAAAATCTGCTGATACTTTTTATTCTAGATCTGTTAATATATATATAATTATCAGTTTTATTTTATTTTCAAGCCTAATTCATAAAAAAAAAACTATTAGTGAAGATCAACGAGTTGAGCATTCTTCCAGCGAACTATCTCTAACAAATTCTCTATCTCACTCATTTCAGGATGGCCCAATGGATAAGTATGTTGTCCAATTTTTACCGCTTTTTCAACTTCTTCGAGTGCTTCTTGATATCGTTCGAGTTTATCTAAAGCAGTAGAAATATTATTATGAGCAATGGCAATCTGAAAGTGATTGGCTGGATAGGATTTTTGGGCTATGCGCAGTAATGCTTTAGCTTGTTCAAGTGCTGTAAGATAATCACCCATTGAATAACAAGCATCAAATAAATGACTGCGTGTTTTAGTCAAATCAGGATGAGTAAATGGAAGAATGTCATGTTGAATCTTTAAAGCATTCTTAAGATTCGTACGTGCTTCGTCGAAATGCTTAAGCTGACGAAGTAGATCACCCATGCTCATATAACACATACCCAATTGTTTTTTATCTGGAACGGGAGATTTCAGCTCTATATCAAGTGCACATCGATATTGCTCCATTGCCGAATCAAATTTGCCCATTTTTTCTAACTGAGAAGCAAGATGAGTATGAGCCAAAGCCAAGTGTGGATCATCATCAGTCAGATAGGTTAATTTAATGTCAAGTGACTTCTTATAATGCTCAAGTGATTTTTTCCAATCATTTTTCTCATCATAGATTCTTCCAAGGGAATCTTGGATATAGACAAGTTCATCTTTACTTTTGAGTGTCGAATCACTAAGGACAAATTCGAAAATATTTTTGGCTTTGTCGTATTGATGCGCTTTCAACATAAACGATCCTAAACGAAGTATAGCATTAGAGCCTTGAATTCCGGTTCGGATGAAATAGGTTAACGAACGTAAATAAGGATCATCATCATTGATCAATGTCAATCGAATACTCGAAATACGATTTTCCATATATTCAATATCTTGAATGTGAAAAATCGAATGTATAGAAAAGAGCCTTTCAGTTTAAGTAGGAAAATAACCGATTCCATCTAATAACGCGAATGGGGTCGATTGGATAGATGTGTTAATATGAATTTCGAAGATAACAGGAACAATATTGTCATTATCAAGCGAATGTTGAGCAAAGTGAAGTGAAATATCACGATTGCCACTAGCCAAGAGGAAATTGTTAAAAGACAAAATACAATTTATGTTTTTCTTTAATGTTTCGAATTCTTCGTTGAATAATCTGCGAAGATGAAATTTTCAAAAATAAAAAGTCTATCATCACAAAACATTTACCTTTGACCTCGGTACAAAATACGAGATATATTGACCAATGTGGTAGAATGAACTTGTTCAATTTCGTCATGCAAATCTCGAATAAAAAATCTCATTTTGAACAAAATATCAATGTCTTGTATTCGAAGAGCTTTATTGAGCATTTTGTACAGGAAACATTCCCTTGTATACCACCATATCGGTGAATGGTTTTTATAATGATCATCGAACTCATTGATAATTTTCAATTCTCCTTCGTTTTTAGCGTATTTTTCTCGACAAAATTCAATAAATTGTTGTTGTGATCGACCATTGTCTTTGAATTCAAGTACAATTTCTTTGAGTAGATTTGAACAGACGAAAGAGCAAAAAGAAGTACTCAGATTTTCACGTGATGTCAAACTTGAATTAAGAATGCTAATTGGTGTAATCGTTGCTTCCGCTATTCGAATATCTTGCGTGAGATGCTCAAAGAGCGAAAGAATGTCTGAAAAAGCACCTCTCACTTTCTTATATATTGCTGGATAGTCATCATCCGAAGATAATGTATGCGAAGAGATGATATAGATCGAATGAAGTTGTGGGAATTCATGAAGTTGAAAGATAAACTTATGAATCAATAGTTCTGAAATAATAAGAAAAATACTATCGTTCTTGGCTGTCCGAATGAAATCAATACATTGTTTAACATTATCAAATGTTTGAATAGTATGAGTCGCATGACCAAATCGAGTGGTGACCGAATGTTCCGTATCGATGCCACTTTCTTCAATCCAAACGACAATAAAATCATCATCATTGAGACCATTTGATAGCTCCGAAGCCATGTTTTTTCACTTGATTAATTTTTGTCTTTATAAATGAGTCTTTTCTTACTTTATGTACACAACGATGAGAACGAGAAGAATATTTGTATTTCTCTTTCTTTTTTTTTGTGCACCATTGTATGCTTATCAGAAGGTTGTTTCAGCCGGCAACGACTTGCATTTGTGTACATAGCAAACAGCCAAATCGTCCATAGAGAATCAGCATTTCGATTCTCTCTCAATAATCTGTACTACTTGTCAAAACAAATTTAGTTTTCGTCGCATTATATTTAACATCGCAACAGAGCAAAATGCAGTTTACATAAAGGTTGTCCAAAAAGTGCTGTTTTTTGATTATGACGACCGAATGTTCCACAGAACAACAATACAATTGTTATTTTTTAAAAACAGAAAAAAAAAACTAAATTACAACACTAAATATCCAGTGTCTATTCAGAGTGACCACTTTCTTTGATAAGAAATCCTACAGTTTTATATAAATTTATTCAATACAGCGGACTATACTTCTTTTCGAGGTGATCACAGCATAGTAATTAGCCATCCAAACTGAGTCATTGTTAAGTGCTTGTTTCGCTACTTCACTATGTTGTGTTGGTTGAACAAATTAGCATCGTGCTTTCGCTTTAAATAAGTATTCAGCTCGATCTCAGAGAAAGAACAGATCTATTTTGGTTGCTATCTTCAATAGTCATCGTAATTGGATCATGACAGAAGCGAATGAATTCTGTTACAATGTCAAATATGTAAAGAACCGACAGATCATGATGTGTTATTCAATAGAACTCACTATTCAAGGGTGTGGGGTAGGTATGAGTGTTAGATGAAGATGCATGATTTGGATGCGAGTGTTTTGGATGGTATTCATTCGCGTTCGTATACACCAATATACACAGCCAGAGTCATATACACATTCTCGATTTGATATGACATTTTTGTTTCTGATTACTATTGATCACAGGACACATTTCCGTTACAAAAACTGGCAGTCAATCTTCATTTTCCAACACGATTTCATCCTGCTCAATCTGTCAGAAGCAATCAGTGGTTGACCAGATGATACTTCGATTTAGCATCGGTTTATTTATCATGATATATAGAGAGTCATGCGCCATAAACCTATATAATCTTGTGTCTCCTGTACAAGGCAAAGCCGTCAAGAAATCTCACAATTTTGTAGCTTGATTTATCTTCTAACTGTGAAATGCCGGCAAATAATTGGCGAGATGAGATCACGAGAACTATATAACCATACATATTTCTCTAAATGATTTGAAAAACTTCTAAGTGAGCCCATTGAATTTTCTCCCAATGATTTGAAAGGACCACATAGAATCAGCTCCCAAATTTGACTCGTCTTGAATCGCAGTCTAATATATATCGAATGAAGAAGCACAAGCTAATGAACTTTTTAAGGATAGCTGTAAGGGTGTGTAGGTATGGATTGTGAGAGGGTGGGATTAGGTCGGGTGGGAGTAAAGAGAAGACTTACACCATATCCTCAAAATCATACGATTTGATGACTATTCTCTTTTTTCAACGGGGATAAATTTTTCCCCAAAATGTACCATTGGCTTTTGTCGTTTTCAGTGTCTGTCTTCCATTGATTGTTAAAAATGACGATAAGAAAAGTTCAAATTATAGACTGATTAATGTTACTAAATATTAATCTTGAAGGCGTGGATGGATGGTTGTTAATATTCTCTTCATCCACAGCCACGCCTCGCAGTGCTGTTTTTTGTTGAGAGTATTCGAATTCTCAACAGTACTGTGGAGATGCATGTTTTGTATATATTGTGCACTTCAAGATTTTTGTAGGTGAGAAGATGAAGATGAGAGTGCGCATCTTATGCTCATCCATAAGCTATTGATGGTGTGTGTGAGAGGGTCGGAACGGGTCTTTTTTTGCTCACATCCATGCCCTTTGATTTAATAGACGACACAAATTCGATTGAAACTTATTGATATGCAACTGATAATATTTTAGTATTCATACATTTTTTAATATTTTATTCGGTAAAAGTAGACCGAGCAGGGTTTACCTTAGAATTCTGCTTTTGGTAAGTGACCAACAAGCTACCTACATATAGTATCATGTAAGTACATTGGATGATATTGAATTTGTTGAAACTCGGTTAATGCTTCGTTTTTTTTTGAATGATGCCACAGAAATCTGTTTTCTTATGGCATATCTAATCAAGGATTATGTTAACGACTAGCAGAGTCATACTTTTTTGGACTTCATTGAAACTTGGACTTTCTGTTTATTGACCAATCTTCATTATCATGAGCAGCACGCAAAAACGTGCTCATTCACATTCGAAATTAGGGAGAATCAGCATGAGTTGAAAACTAGACTAATACATTTTTTGGAACAAATTACATTTTTTGTCAATTATTTGATTTCATGAATACTTAATACGTCCGAGCTCATTCTTTTCTTGAAAGACAATAACAATTGTCTTATCGACTGAATGAAAGCCGACAAAACCTTAATCAGACTTCTAACTGTCCTAGCGAAGATACTTCAATAGGTCCTCGAAACTTGATTGAAACCTTTTGAAGTAACTCACGAACTGTTCCATATTATGAGGAGCATCGGCGTGGGTGTGAATGTTGGTCTTCTCATCGTTTACACCCGACTAGAGCCGCATAGATATCCACCCACTATCTGAAATATTCAATTGTTTCTCATCGATTACTGTACATAAAACAACTTGATTCTGCAGCAGAAGAGCAAAAATTTAAATAGAACATGAGACTTTGCAGCAATGGGATCATCCTGTGTCTACAATCAGTAACTTCAACAAAATATTTCAATCAAAGCGCTTTTTTCTTATTCCATTGAAAGAAGATTATATATAAATTTATAATACGGCTTACGTAAATGTAAAACACTGAAGACGTACAGATAGAAATGAGTAAAATGTTGAGACCATAATTTTCTGTTTTGTTCTGACTCTGGTCTTCTCCGTCTCGAATCTATTCGAGATCATCCTGTTTATTGTCCCAGATACAGCAAGTGATGCATAAGGCTATTCAGGACTACATTGTATGACTTTATTTAAACCAAAAGACAGCAATAATCTCCAGGTGATGAAGGCAACTTGTGTTGATCCTCTAACGAATGACAGCATTTTTTAACGATCCATTGACATTTCGATATTTCACCGACCATTGATCTTGACTCTATCTGTTTCGACAAAATACATAGGTAGAATTGATTTGATGAAAGTTATGCGTTGTAAAAACAAATGATCCATCGATAGTATCAGAGACGATTAAAGCACATCCAATACGTAATTCTGATAGACGTCTTGGTCATCAAATGTTTGAACATCATTGACAATATTTGAGAATTAGAAAGCTATATTTCTATGGTAATCATTGACTCCAATGTGAGCATCAAGTAATTCAATGATAAAGTGCTCACTGTGGTCTGGCAAAACATTCATATTTTCTCTTCAAGTAGCAGCGAATGACTCTTAAATGGTCGCAGAGAAATTCTAATACTGATGTCCTATAGTACCATTTCGTGTTCGTACTATTGCGACAACACTTTTTTTTTCACATCAAGATAAAGATTTTAGCAGCTTCTTCTCTGTGCACTTATCAATCCTGAACTGATAGCGTTTCTCTCCTTGATTTTTTTTCATCTGATATTTTCACTAACTAAAAATTTTCATTGATAGAATCGTTTATTTTGACGAAATTGATATTAAAATAGCATAAATTCTCAATGCATATCATGCTCTTATTTTTACTTCGTACATGAAGAACACGCGGTGAGTTTCAAGTTCAAATTTAAAATCTTGCAAAACTTGAACAAAAAAATGTAATTGCACGGAAAATCTGAACGCAAGA